AGTATCAGTCGCGCAATAACCATATATATCTGCATTTTTCACGTTTATTTTCTCATTTAATCCATCTTTAGCAAACAAACTTCCATGTAAGTCATACACTCGAACTGAAGAATGGACATCGTGTTACCAAATGGCCTCAAGTCGGATTAGGTATAGTCGAGATACTCTAACAATGGATTTTTTCTAAATACAGAGTTTGTCTTCTGTTTTTATAGGTGGTACTCGCATTAACTATAATCAGATTAGTGAGGACGAATTAGAATTACTTCGTAATTATCGTCCTGAGCTTATCTATGGAAAAGCCGTCGTGAATACACCCGACAAATTTGTACCAGCTACCCTTGCATTTGATAAAAAGGTAAATTTCTCTTATTTTATTTGAAATAATTTAATCGTTAAATGGATCTTTAGGTGTTACGATTTTATGGTTATTTCAAACAAACCGTTCCCGAAAGTCCAATTGAATATTATCGAGTTCGTCCTGTAAAAATTTTCTATTATCTGGAAGACGATAGTTTGGAAATACATGAAGAAGTTCAAGAAAACAGTGGAATTCCTCAGGTATAATAGTGTGGTAGTAAAGTACATAGTTAAGATATTATTTGGCTATTTATTATTTTGTTCAGAGAGATAACGTCTCTGATTAATGTCAAAAAATAGATCTTTTGCTATATGTATGACGTTCATGTTTGCTGATTGTTTTTTTTGCATCTGCTATCTACAAAATGATTAATTTAAGGGTAAATTAGTACGTCGTCATCGATTTCCAAAAAATGATCAAGGTGAAACATACAACTGGAGAGATTTAAACCTTGGTCAAAATCTTGCCGTTTATGGTAAAGTATTTCGCATATGTGATTGTGACGCATTCACTAAAGTATGTCGGAAGATTATCTTGTAGCAGTATGACAATTTGTGTTATTCTATAAATTAGGAATGGCTCGAAAGTGAGGGAATCACTGTTCAATCCTCGGAACCAATTCCACACGATCCATATTTAACAAAACGTCGTCAGACAGCTGAACTGAAAACGTATAAAACAAAAAATGAATTTGATAAATTAAAACAATTTGTTGAAATGGATAATAAAGTGTTACGGTTTTATGCTGTATGGGACGATCAAAATCAAATGTTTGGAGAAAAACGTCAATTTATCATTCAGGTAAAGTCAAGACAATTATCGCATCATAGAATAAAAATCTTAACATTTTCTTTTTCTTTTGTCTAGTACTATCTTGTCAACGATACGCTAGAAGTTCGTGAAGTTCATAAGGCAAACGACGGACGTGATCCATTCCCGATTTTAATAACTCGACATAAAGTACCAATAGATCGTTATAACATCAAAGGTAAATGTCAGATTACTTGTTTGTCTCATACCTTTCATATTTGATCTATAGGTACATTTCCGCATATATTTCTGGAATTAACCAACACCGAAGTTATCGACTATTTTAAGCCAAGTGATCTAATGATTGGAAAAAGTGTGAATATTTACGGCCGAAATTTTCTCATTTATGATTGTGATGTCTTTACAAAAACATTTTTTCAAAAAAATTTTGGTATTACAAATTTTGATCCGATCAATATTGAATCACCACAAGTAGAACACGCTAAAATGGTATATTTGTCTGTTAAAATGACAAGAAGATATATATGATCACTAATAATTTACTTTTTTTCTAGGAAATACCACCATTTAATGGTTTTGGTAGTTTGGAGGATTCACTACAAAATTGTCTACGGTTACAGCCAGATCGTCCGAAAAAAGATTATGTTAAACTAATGGAGAATGAACATCGAGTTTTACGTTATGAAGCCATTTTGGTACTTAGATTATTGTTAGTAGTTTAAAAAAAAATGTTAACAGAAAATATTGTTTACAGGATAGTCCACGAGAGACAGATCAACTTCGACGTTTTGTTATTAGTTATCGTTTGGCTGATGATTCAATCTCTATTTATGAGCCGTACGTTATTCATTTTATAAATTAAATAATAATATATCACAAATTTCTTGTCTGTTTTTGAATGTACTTATTCGTTCTGTTTTTGAATACTTTAGTCCAGGAAGAAACACTGGAATCATAGGTGGACGATTTCTTGAAAGAACAAGAGTATCGAAACCGGGTATTTAGTGTTAGTAAGTTATCGTGAGTATAGTGTAAAATATTTGAATGTTTGTTTTAGGTTCAACACCTCAACAACCTCTCTATTATGGTCCACAAGATTTTTATATCGGTGCTATTATTGAAGTTTTTCGTCGTCGTTTTGTTATAAAAAGTGCCGACTTGTTTGTATTGAAATTTGCTGAAGAACATCCAGAACAATTTTCACCACAAGTGATAGAATCATTACGTCAACATTTAAGTGATACGAGTGGCCGAGTGGATGCACGTTCAGCATTAGCTATTCATGTTCGGCGACAGTAAGTTGTTTTACCTGCTGCTAAGCATATATGTTAAACATCGGTTGATTTTTGTGTAGACCTGGTGATTTTATTCGATTATATGCTGAAATTCGTAACAAATTGAAACATATGCGTGTAACAAATCACGAAGAAATACGTCAAATGTTTTTAAGATATGATAAAGACCGAACGGGATATATAGTGAAAGAAAATATTGTCGATTTATTCCGACAATTACATTTGCCATTGGAAAATGACATAATTGATGCTGTATGTACTATATGTCTCTTATATGTTTAAGTGTGTTAGACATTGTTCGCTCTTATTTTAGATGATAGCTGAATGCACAACGAATAGTGAAGGAAAAATTAACTTGTATGATTTTTTACGATTTTTTGATAATTAGAATCTGCTCAATATTGTGGACGCTTGTCATCATCCATTTACCGATATATTGATATGTCTATAATGTGATAATTGGATGATAATCAACATCTTTGATAAATTGAACTGTGATAAAAAATGTTGCATCATTTTATGCAAGATATTCATCTTCATAATACTATCGATATAAGCATTGTCTTCGATTTTTAACTGTATTGTATATCTTTTTTCTTTTCTATGTCGTCCAGTGATCGTTATAACATTTTGTTTTTACCGTTTATGAAACTGTCATCGAATGTTTTTCGTTTTCTTTTAGTTTATCTCAATATTACTCCACTTTAATAACTGAAAGAATGAAATGGAAAGTTATAAAAAAACTGTCAGGGAAACATATCGGAATCGGACAGGAGGTAATAATAATTATAATAACAATAATCATTGAGGGAATCAGGCAAATTTGATTTGTTATCAGTTTATCATTCAAAGTAGAGGTAATAAAACGATTTGTTATGTTACTCGACTCGAGTAGTTCGTAGGTTCTTCATCAGGGATCAAGTCTGAAAAAATTTATTAAGTGAAAAATATTTATCTGTTAACGCTGTGTTAAGCATTATGAAAAGAAGGAGTGATTAACGCTCTGTGATCGGCCATATTCCTATGAAAAATTGACTTAAACAGCAAATACAAAACTAACTAAATCGATAATAACTTTTTTAAACATTTTACGTGTTTTGCAATTAAGTTCTTAAGATTTCAATCTAATATTTTCGACTGGGTTTGAAATAAGAAAGATTACCTAAATTAATGTGTAAACTCATAAAATCAGTAAAGAATGCTTTCTTTTCTCTTTTACTCGATCCATTATCCGAGAAGTGTACGTTTTCAAATGTTTTCTGCTCTTGGGCAGCTGATTCAAGTTTCAAATGCAGCTGGAGATGAAGTTTTGTAACCGTTTAATACCAATTACATTTTTAAAAAAATTATCAGTGTTCGAACCACCAACCATTTGTATCGTCAGCAATTCACTACTATCATCTTCAGTTAATTTTTTTGTCTGTAAACTGTCAATTGCTTTCTGTTGCTTTATTCTTTTCCATGTAAAATCAGACTGTACGGAATTAACTAACCGTATTCTTTGCAATATAATAAGAACATACTGAACGTTTTTGTTTAACATAATTACCAGTTAAGATTGTTTCTGAGATTGTCTAGAATAAAAAGAAGTTCTTAAAAAAGGAAGAATACCTTGCCTTATGGCTCCCGGCACCCGTGTAGGGTGATGACAATTGTCGGTTTCCACAAACCAACATCCTTCCTACAGTTAGTTCATAAGCTTCTGATATGAACATTCATATTGTTATTAGTCATAGTCATCAGTTGCAGCTCTGATCAAAAGACTAGCCTGACGTAGAGTTTCTTTTGCCCAATTGCTTGAGCACACTCACCAATTACGTACTAGATTTCTAAAAACCAAGAAAAACCAAGAGAAACTATATAGTACGTCATAAGTAGTGAATACACTGTCGGAAGAGTGATTAGAAGTACTAATGACATAAGTAACTTGTCCTATGTTATTACACGACTTGATCCTCTCACGAACAACATAACCACCAAATCATGATATGATGTCTGATAAAATAGATTAGAGTATCTTGCCATAAGGAGACGGCAACATTAATAACCGTCTAACTTTAATAGTTTGGTTATATTTTCTGTAGTTCAGTAGTTCAGAAAATAAATTTTATATAAAACACCAAATAGTATGCAACGAGGTATTATGAAACAGCTTTGCTCTATCTATTACGAGATCATTATCTTATTAAAACGTCTTGTCCATTTATTTTAAAAAAACGAAATGCTATTGTCGTCTAACACCAAAAGACTTTTTTGTTTCGTTAAAGACATGAAAAATTCGTTGATTTTATCTTCTTGCAGTGTTATGAACGAACTGTTGAACATAGTCGGTTAAAGCACTTTATTTTACTTGTTTGAATGGAATATTTGAGCACACCAGCGGAATGAAAAAATCTGTTGTTCAATTGCACATGAAGGATATATTGATTGTTTTATTCTAAATACAAACTATTATCTTGTTCATTTAAATATCTGAACTATATCATAAACAATGAAAAATAACAGGTATAAAACAAAGCGAAAAAAATGACTCTGAGCATATAATCACATTAATCAAACAAATATAATGTCACTTAATAGATTTGTTCGGATGGTAATTTTGGCATATTTGGTTTCATTTGCAGTTGATGAGAAGGTCTTAGATGTTGTAGTTGCTTTTGTCGATGTTGTTGTTGTTGTTGCTGTTGTTGCGTTTTCTGATTTTGATATTGCATTCGTGATACTTCTTTCAATTCAAACATGGAATCATATTTTGAGAGTAATGTACCTAATTCACTCGCTGGTGGATCATTATAGAAAAAGTCATGACTCATTGCTAAATCGGCATCAATACGCTGTTTTGGATCAAGTGTTAATAATTTATCAATAAGATCAAGTGTTGATGCATCAAAAGTATAAGGGTGCATAAGTTCCCGAATTTTTCGTTTTTCACCTTTTGGCAGATGAATTTGAGAATAAAGTGGAAGACTACCGAGGCCAGGCCAAACAGATGGTTCAATACTACCACATCTATAAGATATTAATTCCAATTGACGTTGTTCAGTATCGCCTAAAAAAGAAGAAAAAGATCGTTTCAGAGAATATCAGCAAACGGTTAAACTACCTTGTAAAATTGGTGTTCTGGTCCACAGTTCGCACATGATACATCCAACACCCCACTAAAACAACAACATAAATATAGTTAATTAACAGTTTAAAAAACAGTCCTAATATCTACCATATCAATAGCTGAACTATAATCTCTTTGGCCTAGAAAAGATAGTTTGAACAATATTATTAATTAGTCTGATTTTTCTAAAATTTACCTAACAGCAATTCTGGCGGACGATACCATAGTGTGACAACGCGACATGTATACCGATTTACTTGATTTTCTAAAAGAAAAATAAATTATAAAATAATTAAGTAAATAGATCATGGGTTTTGAATAGTCGAATTAAATATGTACTATTCTTTACATAAAAGATATAGAAAAGAACAGTACATATTCGTTTAACAGGAATTCTTACGTTTAGGTTGTTTTAGAACTCTGGCTAAACCAAAATCAGCCAATTTCAATAGACCATTACGTGTTAATAAGATATTAGCCGATTTAAGATCACGATGAATAATATCATTCTTATGAATATAATATAAACCTAAAACAAAAGGAAAACATTCTTTGGTGTTCGTAAAGGTACCCTTTTTTTACAAATATGAACTGTGCAAATTGTGTATATTATGCTTTTGTAAAGACCTTACGACTAGAAAGACAAGATCTTGTGCTTATTAAAAGGTTTTTTCTGAAAATACTTTTAGATCACCCAGTATCTGAACCAAATAAAATAACACTCTAAAATGAATACGTATTTTCCTAAATTTAAAAGGAGTTTTAGAAAATGAAATCATGCAGAAGAAAGCGTCGAAAAACTTTTCAAAGGGTTTCGGACGCTTTCTACCCTTTTTTACTCTCCGGAAGCTTCATTCGTTTCGCTTAGTCTCATTTTTTGAAAACCCTCTAAAAAAAAGGAGAATTTTCCATGTCTTTTAAAATAAAACGAACACTGTTCAAGAAAAAAATGGCATGGTTCGCAAATGAGATAACCACTTCACGACTGGAAGTACTCAGGACCATTTAAGATAATGGCTTTAGCTGTGCATTTTTACTGAAATCGTACCGGTCTAAAACCAAGAGGCCGGACCGGGTCGGCCGGTTCAAAAATCTTTTTAGACCGGTAAAAACCCGGCATGGTAGAAACCTGCAAAAAAACCGGCCAGTTGAGAACTTTTATCAGTAAAACTAAATATCTTTAAGGAAAAAGGGGTCTTCACTTATTTCTCTTAGTTGTTTTATCAAGTTTCTTCTGAATGAAGACGAGAAAAATGCTAAAAATTCTAAAAATGGTAAAAAACTGGTTGACACCGGCCGCTTTGAAAATTTTTCTAGACCGGCAACAGACCGGTCGGTTTGAACTTTCACATCGTACTGGGCCGGTCTGCCGGCTCGGTTTCAACTCTGATGTATTCGGAAACTATGTGAATCTAAAGTTTGCGTTAAAGATAAAGAAGAGATGATGGCAGAACTTGTTTAATCCTTTACCCTCCTTCCCCACGGTTCACTGGAGTGACCATTTGTAAAAATGTAACAGAAAAACAAAATGAAGCATCGAATCTAGAATCTTTTCAGTCTTGTTTCTGTCCCTTCTCCAGAATATCTCATCTGTAAATGTAAAATTACCTCTCCTGTTTACAAGAGTCTTTTTAACAAACACTTGTATGCCTTACCATTTAATAATTGTTGTAAAATCGATTTGATGTGTCCCAATGTAAATTTGATTTGACCATTTCTCAATATACCAGCTAGATCATGATCACAAAATTCAAATATTAAATAAAATTCACTTTTCATATCTTGCACTAGAAAAATGTTAATGAAAATGACAAGTAACCGGGCTTTCCGGTTTTTCTTAGGAATGGAAGAGGCTAAAAAATTTTGCTTCGCAGAGAGTGGCTGGTAAAAAAAAGTTTTCGAAATTTTTGGCAGAAAGAGTTGTTGGTGAAAAAACGTCAAAGATTTTGCCGGAAAGTCCAAAACATTTCTGAGGAGAGGCCAGCACCCCACTAATTGGAAACTCTCCAAGTAAAAACAACATACTTGGTGAACGACATATATCCATTAATCGAACAATATTATCATGCCTTAGTTCTTGAAGTATCTGGATTTCTCTTAAGGCTGTTATTGGAAAACCTTCTTTTTCTTGATACATCAATATTAATTTCATTGCCACTAAATCATTCGTTTTTTTACATTTGGCTTTGAATACTGCACCAAACGTCCCCTGACCAATTTTATCTAATCGAACATATTGTGATACATTCGAGATATAGGGAAATTCAAATTGTTTCGTGGTCATTTTTGCTTAACTTCATTTAAAAAAAAGTGAAATAACAATAACTACAAGGACATGAGTGCAATACTTCAATGCAACGTGCGAAAAAACACAACTCTACAGAATATACACAGACACAGAAATAAATTCAGATAAAAATGAAATGATTAACCGATATTTGTTTTGCTTTCGTCAGTTGACGAAAGTCTCTCAATGCAAGTCACATCTTTTTTTCGTTTAAAAAAAAGTTGTAACGCACATTGAGAGACAATGCAACTGAATTTTTGACAAAAAACTATGGGTTATATTGGTGAAAGATCAGTATACTTTCGCCAATTGATGAAAATACACTGGATTCTCGCAGTTTCGCCGATGTCATATTGGCATATCACTCGATTCCCTTTTCAGATCATATCAGATAATATGATGAGCAACTCTAGTCAAGAGCGAAAGGAAAAAGACTGCAGAATACAAGAATTTTTGATTGATTATTCGTATCTACCAAGCTTAAACAAATTTTAGAAATTTTTATTATTACTCATTGAAGAAAAACAAAAGAACACGTGAAAGTAACGAGCGAATCGATCGTAGATACAAAAAAGAAATTTGATTACAATGAAAACTTGGAAAAACAACTAAACTGAAAACAACAAAAACAATGAGAAAATTCCTATTATTTTAGTTCAACATTATAGTTCAAGATATAATTCAAATTTCAAACTTTGTAAAATTCTTTGAAATTTGTTCTTTCATGTGCATACATTAGAATAGTTGTTTCGTTGGCCATTGTTCCTGTTATTATTGGATTAACGCTACCCATAGAATCATTTATAACGAATTATACTCAAATTTTGTCCAATTGAAAAATAAATTAATTTTTGAAAATTTCTAGTACTATTTTCATTTCATTGAGATTATAAACTTGTAGATTTGAGAATAGTAAGTTCGATTTTTTGTTTTTCGTTTCGTGATCGAATAATCTTCATTTTGCTCCAGTTAAACTGTATAATATCATGACAACCGGTAAGCTGCATAGGAAATGAAAACAGAATGATGTATAACAAACTTCTTGATGATACCTCGCCATGATGTAGGAAACATTTCAGTTTGTTGCAAATTTTATGTTCTTTAATCCTAATCTATTAAAATACTTTTAAACCAGTGTAAATGAGATAAAAAGGATGATGTTTTGTCAGAACTCTATTGTACGAATTGTTAAAAATCGTTTTCAATAGTCTATTTAATAATGTTGAAATGAAAGTTTCAATACATTTATTCGATTTAATTTGTTACGTCCTTTCTTCTGGTATGTTTCAAGTTAAAATTTGATACTGATTTAAATGAAAAATTTTAGCTTTTTAAAAATTTTCCAGATAAATTCATAAAATTAAAGTTTTCAGTAAAATCTTTTTTCAGAATAAAGTTGAACTCTTTCAGATACACGATTTCATATATCAAGAACATTTTTCATAGATGAAATATGAGAGTGGAAAACATGATTAAAATAGTCAATTCTTTTTTTGTTCGAGAATCATGACGAGTTTTTAAAAAATTCACACACAAAAAAAAGAAACAGGAAAAAATTCAAATTAAATAATCTAAATATCAGAGCTGGTTTAGTCAAAAATCTGTCGAATAATAAATATCGGATTATTCCACAATTTTTTCTTCACATACAAACAAAAGAGAAGCAACATTTCTTTTCCTCATCGTATACTTTTGTAATTTTTCTTATCTACAATATATGGCTACTCGATGATGATGCTACGAATTGTTTGAATTAATCACATCATCTCATAGTTAGAGATGAGCCGTAACGATAAAAAATCTTTTTATCGAAGTTTCCCACGGTAAAATTTTGAGATTTTTTACTGGTTTGAAATTACAGCGGTAAAGATCTGATATTGCTACCGAAGCGTCGGTAACGGCAACACGTTTTTATCGTTATCGCTCATCTCTATTCATAGTATATCATATCCTTTGAATAACAGATAGTTAGTGCTATTGCATCATATTTACTCTACGATTTATCATATAGAAATGTTTTATCACCTCCGAAGATCATTGCTCTACCGAGTATTTTGATATTTGATCATTGGTTCAAAAACCAATAAGAATGAAATTAATGATTGTTAATTATAATGAAGATGGCGAACGTTTGAATATAATAGTAAACTATTGTTTGATAATTCGCAAGATGAAGTAAATATCATACAATAATGCGTACGTACACCAGTAACTTGTTCACCATGATGTGTATCACGTTCATGTGCTATTAAAGTGTCTATCATGAAAAACTACGGCTAAAAGTAACATTGAATGTAAATAAATAAACGAGACGCGATACACGTTTTGTTAAATATTCCAGTAAATACAAACTTATAATTATCGATAAAATTTGATTGAAAATCGATTCATTTATTTTAATTGAGTTCCGATTGTTTGTTGAAGTTGTTCTTGTTCAAGCATTCTCTCATAATCTGATAAGATGAGATTTGGTCGGTAAAAATCGTCATATAAAATAAAAAATGACAAAACTGATTAGAATAGCCGTTCTTTTTAGCTTGAACACAATTGTTCATGTTAAGTATATCTAATTACTACAATTTCGAAATATTACAGTCAGTTTTTCAACAAATAAACAATTTTGAAATTAAAAATGCATTTCAATATAAAAATAAAAGAGAGGCTACTATTTTCACATTCTTCGTAATGTTTGCAGTGACTAAAAGTGTCTTTCTGTTAATAGTTTTGTCGATGTCACTATTCGATATCAAAATATTTTTCTATGTTAATGTATAATCTCTTCTATTTCTATTATAGATCGGTACAATTATACATTGACATTGAAAAAGGCACTATTAACGATAAAATCTGTCATCAAATAGGGACATCGGAGATATTATTACCAAAAAGATAATATTTGTCGTTGCTATTACGACATATACTCACAGTTCTCTTTGTTTACATTTATATTGAAATCTATTTTTAATTTCAAAATTGTTTTATCTGTTGAAAATGTGATAATTAATATAATTAACATCAATAATTGTGTTTAGATTAAAATGGATTGCTATTCATACCAGTTTTAAACTGAAAATTTTATTTAGTATTTTACAGAAAAAAATACGGCAAAAATTTAATTTTTTTTCTCATCATCCCATTAATAAACAGTTCACATTTATTAAACAACATCAGCCTATATATAAACATCAAAAATGAGTTAAAAAAATAATAATGAACAAAAACAAAATATACAACATAAAGATTTGGAACTAAATGAAGACTATTTTCATTTTTACTAGTAAATTGGTTCCGATGGTAAATTCGGAACATTTGGACGTTGTGGTTTCATTCGTTGATTATGTATATTCCGTGATACTTCTTTTAATTCAAACATCGACGGATATTTTGATAATAATGTTTTTAATTCCATTAACGGCGGTTCAGAATAAAAAAAGTCAGAACTCACAGCTGCATCAGCATCAATACGTTGTTTTGGATCGAGTGTTAATAATTTTTCAATTAAATCAAGTGCTAATGGTTCCTGAATACAACGTTGCATACGTTCACGGACTTTACGTTTTTCACCTTTTGGTAAATTTAATTTTGTAAAATAGGGAAGACTTTGAACACCGGGCCATACAGATGGCTCGATGCTTCCACACAAATGAGATATTAATTCTAATTGATGTTGTTCACTATTTCCTGGAATAAAAAAATAATTTTTCTTTTTTTAAAAAACAATTACTCGTATTAACGTTAGAACATACCTTGCATGATAGGAGAACGAATCCACATTTCTGCCATAATACATCCCACACCCCACTAAAAATAACATCTATTTAGTTAGTATCATAATGAAATAAGAAGATAAATTTTCATTTCTACCATGTCAATTGCGGGACCGTAATCTCTTTCACCTAAAATGTAGATAGAATAGCAACAATGTAACTAGAAAAAAGATTCAACAAATTCAAATTTTAATACCTAATAGCAATTCCGGTGGTCGATACCATAGTGTGACAACGCGACATGTATAACGATTCTGTTGATTTGCTGTAAGAAGAAAAATAAATTGAATTAGATTCAATTCTACTTAATGTTTAGAATAGTGTGATAATCGCTTCAAGCCACTGAAACTCAATAAAAATGTTTCTCAATAGAAAATATGACTACAATTATTTCTTTTTTCTAGTAAATTCTAGAATGAAGCATGAACAAAAATCATACTTACGTTTTGGTGGAGCAATGACTTTTGCTAAACCAAAATCGGCAAGTTTCAATACTCCATTTCTTGTTAGCAATATATTCGCTGATTTTATATCACTGTAACATAAAGAAACAAAAACGTTTCATTACGATACGAAACACTGTATTATATAGTAGAAGTTACCGATGAATAATATGATTTTTATGAATGTAATACAAACCTATAAACGATAAAAAACAAAAACCAATCAATGTTAACATAATGAATTAGATAAAAAAGAGAGTAAACTTTCTAAAAGTCTCTTCGTTTATTCTTCTCAGGTAAACATTTTAATAAACTTTGATATAAAAAGAATTTGATTTTTATTCGACAATTGGGCGACTATCGATAAGAACAAGACATACTCCAATTGTTTTCGTCTTCGTCTTACAAAAACAACAACTTAATCCATGTTCTTTACTCACCATCTAATAATTGCTGTAAAATCGATTTGATGTGTCCCAATGTAAATTGAATTTGAATATTTCTCAATATACCAGCTAGATCATGATCACAAAATTCAAATATAAAAAAAAATTTACTTCTCATTGTTTTATCGTGCACTATAAATTAATAATATATTGTATAAAGTAGTTCTCATAAATAAATAAAATTATTTATTTGTTTTATAACATACTTGGAGATCTACATACTTCAATTAATCGAACAATATTATCATGCCTTAATTCTTGAAGTATTTTGATTTCTCTTAATGCTGTTATTGGAAAACCTTCTTTTTCTTGATCCATCAATATTAATTTCATTGCCACTAAATCATTCGTTTTTTTACATCGAGCTTTGAATACTTCTCTAAAAAAGAAAAAAACAGACAAAATCAAAATGTAACGTATCGAATATTCCTTTTTATCGTGGTTATATTACGTACCCAAAAGTTCCTTGTCCAATCTTATCGATACGCTCATATTGTGATATATCACCAATATAAGGAAATTCGGGCGGATGTTCGGGTCTCAATGCAGCCATTCAGATCAACCAATAAATATAAAACTGTGCATAAAAAGAAAAGTAAAAAACAGAGAGAAAAAAGAAGTTTTGTTGAGTTTAATAATTTTTTTATACAATAAAATGGCTTAATCTGAAATAAAAATAAATCGAAGACAAAATTGTTTCGGTTGATGTCCGACGATTCGCCATTAAAAAACATTGGCTAGAGTGAATGAGTTTTTCGACGAATTGTTACAGACATTTTAGAGAATGAAGTTGCGAAAAAAAATTAGTGAGAATTTTGGACAATTGAAAAGAGTGTAGCATACTACACGTACAAAGCTTATTAACGTTTGTTGTTTAATGACAAGAGTTCTGCATAGACTCCATATGTTAACAAATAAGACTAATAAAGGTAATAAATATGTGGATTTTTATTTAGAAAACAACAAAGGGAGTCAAAAAAATAATAGGTGTACTGTTACAAAAACGCACGCTTGTATAATCGTCAAATTTTAAGAATATTTGTGCTATTTCAAAAGCAATAACTTGCTCTATCGCTACGAACACACACGAAAAGCAAGTTTAAAAATGAGGATTACTAATAAACAGAAGTAATAACTTGCTCTATCGCTACGAACACACACGAACAGCAACTTTAAAAATGAGGAATTACTAATAAATACACTACGCAACAGGCAGGGTTGAGTTTATAATTGAGAGGAAAGGCAATGTCTTTTGTATTTCGTCGTTTAGTTATCCAATTGTGGTTCGAATTCACTTCGTTTCAATTTTTTGTAATCGTGCATACGAACATATTTTTGTGGTTTATATGTGCCGTCATCGTTCAAGGCCGATTCCCATGGACGGTCAGTATTACGACGATTGATTTTAACATCTGTTGAAAACATTAAACTGCGTAATGCATGACCAGCAGCTAATGTGCCGCCTAAAACGATTTAAATTCAAAATCAATTACGCTCTGTAAAGGTTGAATAGAAAGCAGTAATAGTTATAGTGCAAATGAGTATGTAATAAATAAACAACTTACCGAGGATAACAACACCAAATAACGGCAGTAGTGAATAGTTGTTTTTTAATGATGCCCACGTTAATCCTTTCATCACCATTTTCACGCTGTTTGTTAGTGAAACAAACAAATAAAAATAATTTTCTCTCTAAAACGAAACAAAGGAGTGATAACTTTCAGAGATCAAAAATTAAGTTGCTAGATGGCTCTTGGATTCAGCAGAACAGACAGATTTAACAAAGAGTTTACTTTTAACCGACAAATACTTACATAAACTGTTTACTTTAACTTGATATACAATAGAGAGAAGAGTTTGAATGCTATTTTGTCTTCTGAATGAAAAGTGATTCATCATAGTACACCAAATTTTTGACTTCAATGGGAAGTAACAGGTAACACAGAGTAAATGGTCCTCTCTTCATATTTTTTGGGTGATTCTAAAGTTTTTACTGTATTCACGCTAATTTTTTTAAAGGAATATATTGACACTGTTCTACATTTTCATACAGAAAAAGTTTCAATACACTCGTCTTGTTCTTATATGCGAAGTCCTGGGTGTGACGAGGAAAATTTATTCTGTGTCAAGCATTAAAATTACGTCTATGGTAAAACTAGAGAAAATCATATCGCTGAATCGAAAAATTTTAGAAGCCTGTTTGTAGATTCGTCTTCTTCGTAGTCGATTATCTGGTACGCGATAACTCTTTTGCATCAGGGTAGTTTAGAAAAAAATATTCTCATAGTTTTACTCAAAATTTTTTCAAAAAGCTACTCTATGGGACCGGAAGGCAAAACGATGTCAAAGATTTTTTCTAAAGCACTTCGTTTGAAAAGTTACTGTGAACCAAATAATCGACTATATGGAGAAGACGAATCTACAATCGGTTTTGATCGAACAGGACTTCTAAAATTTTTCAATCCAGTAATTTGAACAGCAAACTTATAATCGGATAACAACGGTCAAAAATTATACATAAAGTTCAAATAAAACTAAAAAATATCTGAAAAAACTTATACAATTTCCTAACTATAAGGAAAACTCCCCTGACAAAAATCAAAAGGTCTAATAAATTAATTGCGTCTATTCCTAAAATATAGAAAAATGGCTGCTGGGTGGGTATCTTATAGACAAGCCAATTAACAGACAGATCGAATAATGTATAAATGTTACCTAAGCATAGATGTCACTGTGAAATTCGGGGCGTTAATATACATTTGATAATGAACGTTTTATTCAATACAGCGAGCCATTTTGGTTAAATGCAAAACAATATTCTTAACGCGATTAAGATAAGCTTTCGTTAAAATTTCTCTCATTAAGCGTCGATGTCAACGTAAATTACATTGTTACTGCCCCTTAATGAAAAAAATTTTAATCATACCACTGACAGAATAGAGAAATAGAAAATCTTCTGGGTTATCGAGTGTGTTGAATACGAAAAAGAACATTTTCGCAACTCTAAATGAACTTTATCTTTTTCTTAACGTTGATATGAAAAGCTTATATTGACCTCTTAACACTAAGGGTCACTGCAAGAATTAATAGAACCAAATAATAAGCCAGAAATCGATCATGCAGAGTCTACTAAATCAATTTCAGACAGCTAGAGTTCCCAAAAAATTTTGAATGGTTGCATCACTTTTAGTTATTTCCGGTATGAAATGACGGATAAATGCGATATTTTGTAAGTTTTCTCACACTCCTTTATTATTATCACTACAACAAATATAGTACGGAACGGAGATTATAAGTTTGAGTGGAAGGAAGTTGTAATATTAATTCGTATAATATTTTGTTCCTATTTCTGATCTTTGAAAATCATTTTTAAAAAACATTTTAGTTTGTAGGTTAAAAAGATTTACGTGGAGAAAGAATGGAGGTCGATAACCATATCACCGATAAAAAAAAATTAAAGTTTGTTTAGAGTTAAAGAAAAGTGCTTTTTCGTATTCAGCACACTTGATAACCTGGAAAATTTTCTATTTTTAGCG